TATATATATATATATATTTCGAATATATATATTTCGAAAATAGTGAATAAAGAAATGAAATGAAAAAAAGAAAATAATTTTGATTCTTTATTTTAAAATATTACAAAAATTAAAAGTAAAAATGAAAAGAAATCATTTAATTTCGTTAACATCAATGTATAACATGTATAATATTTTGTATTATAAATGAAATCGAATAAGAAATTCCATTTGAATTCCAATGAATTGATGATTGAAATGAAAAAGAATAATAAAAATCTAAAATTAGCCATTTCTAAAGCCATTTCATAATCTGAAAATATAAAATATAATATCGAATTCTTAACAAGATTTATAATTTCATTGAATTGAATTGAATAATATTAAAGTAAATTAATGAAATTTCTTTTTCCACTGGGTTTTATATTCTTTAAATTTTTCCACTAAAAAATCTAAAAGAGAAAAAATACTAACATGAAATATTTTTATATTTTATCGCTATCGAACAAAATGAAAGAAATCTTTTCATCGTGCAAAAAAAATAATAATCAGAAATCTATGGAGAAGAACATTTTCCTTCCTTTTCGAGTGCCATCCGCTCATGAAACCTACCTACTTCAAAGAACTTCCTTATTTCTGCGTTTGATAACGCGCTTTTCGAATTTCTCGAAAGGCTGAAAGTAAAGGCAAACGTTAAGAATCGCGATATTGTCGAACAAATGGCTCCAGATCGTTTGTCAGAAAAATGTATCGAAATCAACTCGAGTAACTGTGAAAAAGAGAAAAAAAAAAAGAAAGAAACGAAAGGAGAAACGTGCAAGCTGCTTCGCTATTGTTTCATACGATTTTCTCGCATTTATTGTTTCGCTTGTCGCCTCCACGAACATTTTACAATTACACAACGCCATCATCTTCTTGATATTTTTCGATTATCGCATGTAGTTTTGATACGATATGAAAAGGAGTTTAGTTTCATCTTTCGTTTATCGAATCGTCGAGTATTGCTATCAATTTTTTTTACGAGGATTTCTTTCTTCTAGAATTTCAATTCCAAGTAATACTGCATCGAAACATGAAATATTTTAAAATTTGTTAAAAAGCATATATTAACAAAAGATTAAATTTTTTAGCCAACTGAATTGTTTTAAGAGATTTTAATTTTGATTTTGATTTTGAAATTAATATAATAAAATAATTTTAATTTTAAGAAAAATTTACAGAATATAATAATTTTAAAAGATTTTGATAAAAAATGAAGCTATGAAAAAATAATAAAACTTTACAAAAAATATATATTATTTATGCATTTATTATAATATCAATCATTTTACTACTATTAGGATTAGGATATAATATATAATATATAATATATAATATATAATATTTATTTATAATAATAATCATCATTTCTAAAATGATAATATAAATATAATTGAAAAAAATGATATAATTATTTTTAAAAAATTTAAATATAGTATATAAAAATTAAATGTAATATATCATAATGATTAAATTATATCAATTAAGTTTATGATAATAAAATAATTAATTTAATGATATGAAATCATAAATATATTTATTTTTTTCTATTTTTTTTTTATTTATCTTATATATAATAACATAATAAAATTTATCTATGTTATTTTTCTTCGTTTATTTCATAATTGTATTGACAGTAAAACAAATAACACAAAAATCTAATGTATACTATATATTAATTAATTATATATATAAGAATATTATTCGAATACATAACTAAACCTGCGTCAAAAAAATTTTTTTCAATAATCTATCTTTCTTCTAATTACATAGTACAATGAAAACAAAAATAGATTTATATAATCAATAAATTCTATAAGTCTCTAGAAATAATATAATTTTATTAAATATTCTAAAATAATATATTTTCATAACTCAGCAACAATTTGTTGCTACTTGAATATTTAAAATTCGATTTACAAAAATAAAAATATATTATCATCTTGATTGGTAAATCTAATGTATCTAAATAATTATTGTTAAATAATATCTCTAATCATTGTGTCTCTATTATATATTATATTCATTGTTATTAATGAACAAAAGATCTTCGTTATTATTTTAAAAAGCGTAATTGTTTACATCGTTAAAAACTAGGAAAAACTCACTTCACGAATATTACGAAAAGGATTAATGTGGACGTGTGGAATATTTAACGCCAGCAATCTCTCTTTTCATCTTCCTACCCACCGTATTTCCTTTATTTTTTTCCTCGCTAATTTCTCTTTATTTTCGTCGGTCCACGCTTCCGTCACTCTCTTTTCGAATCGTTTACCAATTCTTTTTTCTCTTCCTCGTTGATATAATTAACCGGATATAGCACCACTCGTCCCGAGTGCTCTAAATTTTCTCAGTTCCGAATAGACTACGGATAGCTAATCCCTCACGTGGGGATTCAAAAGCACAGATTTCCAGTCTCTCTGCATATATTACACACATACTATCTGCTTAATATTTACTCGGGGAACAAGGATTTTCTTGAAGATCCGACTTTAGGCTCGACTGATTTTATCCTATCCAATTTTTAAAATAAAGCAAGTATAAAAATATGCAATGATAAAATAAGAATAAAGTATAAATATTATTTGAATGATTATTTTCTTTCAGAAACTTTAAAGAAAATCAGAAACACCATTCTCAGTGATATTTGGAGGATTTCCATAATATGTTGCCAAATATTTCAGAGCAATTCGAAAACTTTCATGTACAACCTGGAACCAATGATTATTCATTATGTTTGATCAATATGGATATTTTTCCATATCTTTCTGTTTGTCATCGCAAATATTTTTAGATTTAAATATTAATTTTTAATTTAATTCGAATTTGATAAATTTTTCTTCCACTAATTCGTTTGATTTCTTTTTTAGTATCGATATCATACATGAATCTCTATTATTCGGGGAACAAGGATTTTCTTGAACATCCGACTTTAGGCTCAACTGATTTTCCTGTCCGATTTTTAAAATAAGGCATG